CCGAGGACATACCAAATCCTACGGAATACCTCTTTTAATTAGCCCTTATTGAGTTGGAAGGACATTTAAAAGAGCTCTCCAAAAGAGCAGTTTTTGCTTTGGTTGGACTGAGGAGTTCCAAAGTTTCTTCCATGCCCGAACTTCTGTATCTAAGTATGATTATCCCCATATTTGATGCAAATTCGCCATCATGCATCAAATTAGTGCACGAAGCAGGATGCAAATCTGAAGAACTTTGCTAATAGGTGCACGAATCGGCTATTTTTGATGCATGATGGCGAATTGGAAGCTAATCGATTGCTGTGAATGGGAGTTTAATGAAAACACAGAAGAAATTTTCGGATTTTTTTAAGAGACGACATGCTTAGAGATGTTATCGAACGAACATCGTTTTAATTGCCGATTTACCATGTCTTAAGATAGTTATATCATGTGAGATACCGTAGTGGAAATTGCTCAATTAAAATCCTAATCATAAATTCGTCCCAAACAAATTTAGTGATCTATAATTTTTTTTTTTTACAGATACTAGCCATTAATATATTTTTGAAACGTTGTAGCCAATCCATTAACAAATTATTTATTGATTATTAAATTAAATTTGTTTCAAATATATAATAAACATGCTAGTAACATATCAAATACTCCCTCTGTCCCATAATTATTGTCCACTTTGCCCAAAAAATTTTGTCCCAAAATTATTGTCCAATTTAACTTTTTATGGATCAAGTTACATATTTGTCCTTAGTAAAAAATATTATCCATTAAAATCTTTGTGGTTAAACAATTACTTATGTAGGGGTATAACCGGTTGTTCAAGGTAAAATATAGTTAAGTTTGACTAAAAATAAAATCTTTCATTTTAGTAAAATTGGACAATAATTATGGGACGGAGGGAGTAATTGAGTTTAGTTCGGTGGTGGGGTTGTATTCATTCATGCAGTAGGTTAGGGCCTCTAACTTCTCCATTATCATTTCATTTTTCTCTATTTGTTAATGTTAGCTCGACAGTTATTAACATCAGCTGCTAAAAATGTAATATTTAAGTTTTTTTTTTAAAAATTTTTTTGAAAAATGAAATATCGAAACTAACCATCCCCGTAGCCAAGTCAATAGTCAACAGAACAGAGAAGTTAATGGAATAGTGAATTGGGACCAAAAAAAGAATTACAAATTACAATATTTGGACCATTTTCTCTAATAGTTAATGTTTGGGATCATTATTTGAATTGAACTAAAAATAGGGGACCAGTGAATTTCAAATAATATGAAATACCAAAAATACCCCTACCCATACCGGGGTTGATAGTTAATAGAACGGAAAAGCTGACGGAGCAGTGAATTGGAACAAAAATAGTTAAAAACTATAATATTTTGGACCATTTTATCCAAATGTTAATACTTGGGACCAAAATTTGAATTGGAATAAATGTACGAGACCAATATGAGTGTTTACTCAATTTGATAACATAATTCATTTTAAAAATTTAACTAAATTACAACTATGTATTTAGATGAAAGTAAAAAAATAGTAGACCAAGACAGTGCAATTGGCAGTTTACACCGAATTTGGTATAATACTATTCATCACTTTTAGCTCTTAAATCATGATAGAAACCTAATGTCACATGCAAAACATGTGAGTGTGACATAGGGACAAATTTGTCATTTTATATATTTTTTTAAAAAAATTCAAATTCTTTTTTACAATTCTTCTAATACTTTCTTGTATATGTTGATACTAATATAATTACCAAATTTACAAGAATTCATTCACCTTTTATATTTCAACTTCTAAATCATTAAAAAGTTTTAAAAAATAAAGAAAATGAAGAAGAAAAGTTCAAGTTGAAGTAAATATAAAAATTAATATTATCGTTTTAAACAAAAAAAAGTAAAACAAATTCTAAAAATCATTTAAAACAAGCCATTTCTCCTTGCTATAATACATAAGTTAGTTACAAAATACAATTTTTTAATTCTATCTTAAAATGATAATTTTGTTCCTTGTAATTATTTTTATTAATTTTCCGATGACTAAACAATAAGCAATCATTATGGCCTTGTTTGTTTGTTGTTTCATTTTGCTTTTTGTCTTATTTTACCTCTAAACACAAAACACAATACACTATCTAAATATCAATTTAATTTACCTTTTAAACTATTGTATACTATTATAAAGTTTAGTGCCGATGGTCACTAAACTATTGTAAAGTTTTAAGTTTGGTCACTAAACTATTGTAAAGTTTAGTGTTGATTGTCACTAAACTATTGTAAAGTTTTAAACTTGGTCACTAAACTATTGTAAAGTTTTAAGTTTAGTCATTAAACTATTGTAAAGTTTTAGGTTTGGTTACTTTACTATTCCACTTTCAAAAATGGCCATAATACTTTTCAAAAATTGTCATTAAACTACATTTTAAATCTCCTCCCAAATCCATATGAAAAAACTGAAACAAAACGTTGTCCGAACATCACCATATTTCCTGACAGAGATAAATGTTTGCCATCTTTAACAATATAATTTTTTTATAACTTAGAAATTAAAATACAAGCTAGGAAGCATATACAAGTTAATTTTTAAAATCTATTAATTGCATTAGTATCAATATATATATATAAGTTAATTAGGAAGTATAAGAAAAATTCTAAAAAAAATTAAATTAATTTTTTTAAAATACAAAATGACAAAATTGCCCCTAGGTCACACTCACATGTTTTTCATGTGAAAAATAGTTCACTATGAGTTTAATGAGTTATTGGTCCCTCTTCAATCGAGACAGCCGAGGTGATAGGTATTCGACGAGCTTAGAGGTTGCAGTTCACTATGGGTTTAACAGAGTTATGTAAAATCAGATTCCCTAATGACTATAGGTCTAGTTGAGAACCTAAGTCAGGGAACTATTTTGGATCATGATTCAAGAAAGATTCAGGAACTGTTATGGAATAATTTATCCGTAGAATTTTTCCATACATTTATGGAAAATAATTTATGTGTCGACTCCCTATCTGAGGAAGCGTTAGAAATCGGATATTATATTCTTTTGATGTTGCCCTGTCTTTTATGAACTTACTGCTCTACCAGGAAAGTAGTAGTCCTAGACTATGTAATATCTAATCTAATGAATCACAGGTTTTGAGCTTGTGCATTTTGTTTACCAAAAAAAAAAAAAAGAAACTGATCATGATTTAACAGTTAAAAGTAACATGAATGACCTCGGATGGAGTTTTGGCTTAATAATGGATCTTGTTTATAAATAAATTTGATTGATGATTTGTAATGAAATTATCTAATAGTTCGATTACATGTTTCGTGGTTCACTCTCTTTTTCTTTTCTTTTTTTTTTTTAAGGCATTGCACTACGTGAAAAATAAGGCCTAATAATCAAGTGAAAAATGCACATTGCTAGAAAAAAAAGAAACACTTTGTATATAAAATAGCAAGTACATTAGATGCCCCAAACTCGCGCCTTTGTGCAAATCAATTTATTAAGAGTTCTTCGAGGCAGAATTTTTGGGGGTTTCATCAGAGTTCGGCCAATGGATGCTCTGCAACTGATCACACAATTTCTTCTTCACACTGAAAGCCAAGAAATCTCAGACACTGAATCGGTGGAAAACGAAAATCCCCCAAAAAAAAGAAAAAAATTGCATTCCGAACAAATTAGCACTGTAACATGGCCGTCCCTGCCAAAACTCGACTCAGGTGTGTAGCAAAATCACGGACTAAAATGTTCAAATGGTCCCTTATATTTAGGGTCTCCCACATTAACATTTCAATATCATAGTCCCGGACATTATATGTTTACACTTTTTTGGTCCCATCGACCACTTTTTCGTCCAACTCGATGTTTACCGGCCGTTGACGTACTGGGGTCACGGGTATTTTGTCTTTTCAAAAAATTTGAACTTCTATCTAAATTTAAATCATAAAAAATATTACAAAATTCATATTTAATTAGTAAAAATAATATTATAATTTTAAAAAATATATTTTTTTTTCAAAATTACTTTTTTTATTTACTATTTATCTCAGGTTGAAAGTAAACGGTAATAGTGTCACACTTTTAACCCCGAATCCACAGTACTGTATAATTCAAAATTCAAATTTAATTTTTTTAAGGCTCCGTTTGGTTAGATTAAATTGAAATTGAATTAGAATTATAATACTATTGAATTGAAAATGAGATATTAATATTGCAATTCAATCTTAATTCTTTCGTTTGGAAGATCTTAAGAATTGACTAGAATTAAGGTTCTAATACCAATTCTTTTGTTTGGATCCTTATAAATTTATAAAATCTAGAATTAGAATTAGTTTTTTATTATCTAACTATAGTTTAGTACTTTATTTCATTGAATAAAATAAATACTTTATATATCAAAGCAATTTATTACTTACATATATAAGATAAGAAAAATAAAAATTATCATATACATTTATATTAGAACTTTTGTTGTTTGAGTAATATATATCAATTTTATAATTTATAGATACATACATATTTGTGGAAAACCTTTTTTTAATTATTACATAAGTATGAATGTGATGATTGGAATTCTCACAAGTAACATGTAGAACATCCTTGTTCCTCTCTTTTTTATTATTTTATAAATTTTTAATCTTTATTTTTTTTTTTTGGGTTTTAGAGTAAAATTTTTGTATAGTTGAAAGTAAAGACCATTCATTTATGTATAGATTAACATTAAGATATGATGCTAATTAATTATTTTTTATTTTGTGATTGCTGGGTAAGTAGCTGGAGTAGTGACAGCTTTTGTTGGTGTATCTTCAATCATCATATCACAGGTTTTTTGGTCTGGAGTGAATGCTGTAAGTTCAAAACCAAAAGCGGATTCTTTTATTTTAAAAATTCTCAGCCTGGCATACAGAACTTGAGTTTGCAATGTTGTATTCACTTGTCGCATATCCACGGGTTTTCCCTATTTTGACATAACAATAGTATGATCAGTGCACTTACTGTAGGGATAAATATGGTTTAAATGTTTGTACTTACCGCTAGATGGTTATGATAAACTTCATCAGCACTGTATCGTAACAATTTTTCAGCATATTCATTTTGGATAACAGCTTGTAGAGTACCAGTGATGTCAGCCAAGTTGATGACAAATTTTAAGCTGATAGAATTATAGGAAAAAGAAAAATTTGAATCTTTAGATGAGGGAAATGTTACGGAAATAGTGAAGAGAATAATACTGAAAAATACAAAATAAAATAATGTTTACCCTGGTTTTGGTGCTTTTCCAGAGGTACCACAATAGTTGCAAGTAGAAATTATGCCCATTGGTGCACCAGATGGATTGTCACAATTCGGACAAATCGCTGTGTATAGACGTTGGTTGTCTTTTATGGTTGCTGTAGCTTTGACCCAACAATTTTTCACCTATAAGAAATTTTTCTTGATTATTAGAGATGTATGAAGGTAAGGTTTACATAAATTTAATAGAATGAAAATATGTAGAATTACCGTGTGTTGTATGTTAAGGACTTGATTGATTTGACGGATATGTTTTTCTTTTGGTACTCGAACCTCTTGCTTCTGTTTCTCATAAAGTTTCTCCTTGATGACATTTTCAGCATAGTCTTTGTTTTCGACAATCCTGAAAAATACAGAGATTAAGATTAGTGAAATGCCGTTGTAGTATTTAAAATAGAATTTTTGTTTTGAGAAGATTGTAAACCAAGTTTTCAAAGAGTTTGTCTCAGGGATTGGTGGATCAAATATGATTTTGGTGTTGTTTTGAGCACCAACACATGTCCCTGTGAATTAAGAAAAAAAATAAAATAAAAACAAAAGAAAGAACAGAGAAGAAGTTAATAATGATAAGAGAAGGGTACTGGTGTTATTATTGTTTCGAGAGTTTTGGTTTTATGTTACCATGGAAAGTTCCAAGTTTGACACCTATGAGTAAGACAACAGGATGAGTATGCATTTGATTGATGAGTTCTTGATATTCTTCAGCTTGATAACTTTCCCATATTGATAGAATTATGGGTCTGCACCTGTAAAATTAGGTTATGTAAATATCTATAACATCCATAATACTAACTTATGAAGCACATAAAGTCAGAAGGCAGCCAAAAACTGTGTAAGGGAAAACTCATTTGACTTACTAATTGTTAATGATCACAAAGTCTTGCACAATTGTTGCTCCATTTTGCGCATTGACTGTTCTGGGAGGAAGCATATGGAGGACAACGCAAAGGAGATCTGGAAAGGAGTATTGAAGGAAATGTTATAGTAAATGAGGAAATACAAAAGTAAGAATAACAGTTAGAAAAAAGGTTGTTCTACGAAGTATATTACTCAGATTTTCATTCTCTTTGTCTGGATCAACATCTATTTCCCAAAAAGGAGTTATTGGTAGGCACTCATCTAGATGGTAGCTCTTGGTTCTTTCAACTTTTTCAAGAAAACTTTTCCTTGTCAATGTCATTTGAAAGGGTACAGATCCGTATTGGTACTTAGGATCTTCTATTTTGGTTATAAAGGCATTCCCAATATAGTAAGTTTCATAAAGCTGAAGCTTTTGTTCAAGGAAATTCAGGTCCTTTGTGTAGATGACAGCTTGCATAACAGTTTTCTGCAAGATCATAAAGAAAATTGTTGTTATGTAGTTAAATTAGAAGTACAGAATGTTAATGAAACTATCCTTTTAGTAAGTTATGTAAGAATACCTTTTTATCAGCAAAGAGAAAGCGTTGGAAGGAGCCTGCTTTTCCTTTGGAATTGACAAGAATCCCTTTAGTCAATAGGATCACCTTTGTATACCATTCGACAGTTTTTTCGTCCAAATTTCTTAATGGAACACATCTATCTTCCATATCTACAGCATGGAATATTCAAGTATTACATGTAGTACTATAACGGAATATATGAAGCTATACAAGTTAGTTTAGCAGAATGTTTGAAAGTTTTTTTTAATTTTCTTTTACCTGGAAGAATTATAGATATGATGCAATATGAATTCGATTTGTTCTTGTGCTGGGGATGATTTTCAGGCCTGCAAAAAATGATAGGGGTCAGTTAAAAGTCAGGTGGACAGAACTAATACAAATAAAATTCAGGAAATACTGGATTAAGTATTTTCAGCAGCAACAATAAATATTTCAGGGTACACTATGTTTCTTGTGCTATTTGGATACTCTGTTTTGTTCTCTGTTGGTTTAATTAAGAACTTGACATTTTCTGAAGTTCTAGCTCTAGAAAGGGCTATATATAATTGACCATGTGAAAAAACAGGTTCTTTTAAATATAGACCACCAAAATCAAGTGTTTGACCTTGTGCCTTGTTTATTGTGAGTGCAAAACATGGTCTAACAGGAAATTGTATTCTTTTAAATGGTACGCAACTTTCATCATCAGGACAACGTAATGGTATTCGAGGTATGAACACTTCTTTTCCAGAAAAAGTACCAACAGATATCCTAGCATGTATGACATTATCAGAAAACTGCAAGCATGTTAGACGCGTACCATTACAAAGACCTTCTGCTGGATTTAAATTTTTAAGCAGCATGATAGGACAATTTTCTTTCAAAATTAATTCATGAGATGGCAGGCTAGGTGGATTATAAGTCTGTAACAAATCCTCATAATCTCCTTGTTGCCTTTCATCAATTGTTTTATTCAAACTGATAAATCTTTTTTCAACTCCTGGAAATCTATGAATTAAGATATCATTTATTTGGTTAACAAACTCATTTTTTGTGGTTAAAATTGCCCTATTAATAACCAAACCAGGATCAGAATGAAAAAGATGAAGATTTGGAAAAACAGAATGAATAAGCATGTTAAGTGAAGTATTCTCGTTGGTGAATGGTAAGAGAATGGAGGATGGTAGACAGATTCTATTGTCTTCAAAAGTTGGTTCTTCTCCATTTCCAACTCGAAGTAAGAATTGACTAAAATTAGGGTCTGATTGTGCTCGCATGTTGGTTGATAGTTTAATCTGTTCCGACATAGGCCATAAGTCTGACATGATGAGGCTTGCTGAAATACAATCCTCTTTTTGTCCTTTTCGAATAACTAGTAATGTTTGCCGAAAGTCACCACCAAAAACAACTACTTTCCCACCAAATATTGTGTCGATACCCATTATGTCCCTGAGCATTCTATCAAATGATTCAACTGAGTACTTTTTGGCCATACTTGCTTCATCCCAAATGATCAACTTTGCTTCTTTAATAAGCCAGGCTGTTCCGCTCTGTTTGCTTATATTACAGCTGTTGTTTTCGCCTTGCTTTACAGGGATTTTAAATCTTGAATGAGCTGTTCGGCCTCCAGGAAGAATGGATGCTGCTACACCGGATGTTGCTGTAGCTAGAGCTATTTGATTTCTTGATCTTATCGTTGCAAGTAGAGCTCGGTCCGCCAGGGCCATCAACAAAAAATGCTCCTGATTTTCCATTATTAACGTGATCCATTATTTTTTCATATGCAGCTTTTTGATCTTTATTAGCATGCTCACACTTGAAAGGTCTTCATCTGAAACTATGATGGTTTTTTCTGTAATGATCTCTTGGGTTTGATCTTGAAGATCAAATACTTTAGAAGGAAAATAGCTAAAACCATAATCATCTAAAGTTTTCCCCATGGACTTTAGATGGTTATTAATCTGTTGCAAGACCTTGAAACGTACCTGATCTATGGACAATGTAGTGTCTTGTGATATGTCTTCTGAAAGATATGGCTCATACTTGTTCCACAACTTTTTTGGGTCATTTACTGTACAATAAACCAAAATTGTAGCAAACAGTTGTCGTAAAGCTGCTGGCATTTGATATGTGGATGCTTCTTTCAAAGAATCTTCTATTGCACTATCTGAATGTAAAAGACCTCTTTTCTCTGCAGCTTCTCTGAACGTAGGCAACACCTTCCCATCAACAGTCTTTAAATCATCAAATGATTTTGGTCCTCGTACATGCATCAACAACAACCGTAAGTAGTATCTTTCACCTTCTGTAGGATGTACGGAATTGACACGACCAATAGTTTGACCTGTCTTTCTTTCTGTCCACAATTTATCTTTAGGATGCCACACAAAGTGTTCTGGGAACTCCCTATAAAGACAGTTGAGTTTCTGAGCTTTAGGATTGTGAGCATTCATGTAGAAAAATTCTGTCAACATTGTTCTTGATAGGTCTTCTCTGCTAACAACTTTTTTCAGAAACTGTTTTTCATCAAATGTGAGAGATTGATAATTCTCGAGATGAACCTGTAAATTGAGGACAGCTGGATGAATTTTATTCAAGTCAAAGCTATAAATTCGCCATAGAGCTTCCGGAGCGCACACCCATCTAGCAGCTTGGAAGTTTTTAATTTCATCGACTGTACCATCCGGTTGTTTCTCTGTTAACCTATAGAGGATTTCATCATGTCCTTTGTAGATGTACTTGTACAAGTATTTCACAGCTTGCACACTAGAGCAAATTTCAACATTAATATGACAGTTGAATTTCGCCAGTAGGTATGGGTTATAGGGTACTACCCATCTATTATCCAACCAGTGATGCCGAACTTGTACTTTTCTCCCGTTATTTCTTCTTCGGTAGATTGGGTAAGAGTTTGAAGAGTGCCTGGTAAATTCAGAGAATTCTTTGGGATAGTTACTCTTGCACTTCTTGTTTTGCCGCATACAGGAATTGTGGATGTTTAGTTCACCACAAGGACCATGCATCATGTGGTTGACTACTACTGAGTGAAGGTAAGGGTCAGTTTCCTCATGTGGAAGTTCTACAGAGACAATCCTATCATACTGTTCTGGCGACGAGAGCTTGTATCTATCTTTTAAAATAATCAAAAAGTGAGCATGTGGAAGACCTCTCTTTTGAAACTCAATCACATACGTATAAGCCGCAACTTCAACGAAATGGTTTTTGCTGATAATATCTTCTTTAAGCTGTTGCAGTTTAGCATTAAAGACCCTTACTGTTAAATCAGGTCTATTTTGCCCCTCCTCACCTTTTAAAAGGTGTTCTGTTATTTCAGGCCACGAAGGTTGCATGTCATCGTCAGAAAGATATCAGGTTTGCCATACTTCTGAACAAGTGCCATTGCATCCATGTATCTCTTTCTCATGTCTCTTGGTCCTCCAATAAAGGATGGCGGTAAGATGATTCTTTTCCCGACTTGCCATGCTCCAATTAAACCATTTGATATGCCGTCAAGGAGGCCCTGATATATTTCAGCTCGTAATTTCCTTTGCTTATTATTGTGAAAATCCAATCTTTGTGATTCAATCTTTACATATGTATCAACAGCAAATTGTTGGAATAACCTTCCAACATGTAAGATGTGAGATTTGTCATTTTCTCTGATTTGGAACTTGTATGCATAATATTCTCGGCATGAAATGGTTCTTTCTTTTCCTTTGTCTTTGATGTTTTTTGTAATAGCTGCAGAATATAACATAAGAAAACTTTAGTTGGAGTTATCACGAGGATAAACTTTTAGTAAATACAATACGACACTATAAGGTAGCATACCTGCATTCTCAATGTGAATTATGTCATCAGCTGTTAAGGATTGTTCTAGGTTGATCAGCTTTTCTCCGGTACATGTAGTGTTTGATCCTCTAGGAGTTTTAGCTGTATTTATTCTTTGAATACCCTCATGCCAGCCTGTCTCTCCTCTTGCAAATATGAGAGGATATTGAAGAGGATCATAACAGCCAAAATAATGCTTTATCCTTTGTTTCTTTCCAGTTGTTGTGTAAACTTGAATTTCTTTAGATAAGTTCCATGTAAGGCCATCACTTTCTTTCCACATAGCAGCAACTTGTGATGCAGAAGGATAGTTGAAAGTACGTTGGTCTAATCCAGGATCTGACTTCAAGAAGATCCGGTATTCATCCAAGTTATCAAAATCTCTGAGGTTTCTGAAAAAATTTGCATAAGGGTTCATCTCAAGTATCTGCTGCAATCTCTTTATGATGGATTCTCTGAACTTGCTTGAGATTCTCATTCTATTGGCGACTTCATGCTCAGTGTCATAAAAATACAACTGAACATTAGTACACTTTTGGTTTACTTCTGGCACCAATTTGTCCATAAAATGGTATACTTGGCCTTGTGCTCGAAATGTATAAATACCTTTATTCCTCTTGCATAATTCTTTATCATAGTGCACGCCGATTGATGTGAAAGCAAACATGTTGTTGTAACTCCTTACACATTGTTGGAATTTGATAGCTTCCTCTGTGTTTTCTGTGTAAAGTTGAAGAAGCTCAGGAGGCATCTCAGTTTGTGCCAGTTTTATCTCACCCGAACTACAACAAAATCCCGGTGGTTCCATGTAAAATCTTTTTGCATTGCAATAAGGAAAATTCGGTATTGAGGGTAATCGACTGGCTTCTGTAGGGATTTCCTTGAAGACCCTGATGTTTGCATATGCATTTTTTTTACCTGAAAACACACATAAAGAAATAACTTTGCTGTTAACTTTGCTATTTAAGTTATACATTAACTGAATATAGCTTTTATTTATAAGGTAGAACTACAAGGGACATAATGGAAAAGTAACAACAAATACAAATGTTTAGTACCTTTTTGCAGGTTTTGTTCCATGAGAGGAGATGGATGGCAAATGGCACTTGATCTTTCTGACTCATTTGATATTTTTGTTATTTGAGCGCTTGAATAAGGATAAGGATCACTTCCATTTGATGCTGGAGTGATTTCACCAGAAGAAGAACCTTCAACCAGTGTATTCGTACCCTGATTTTTCCCGCACTTCTTTTCCTTAGAAGCAGCATATTTTTCTCTACGTAAGGCATTTAATCTTTCTTTTTTTTCAATAGGCATACCCTTCTACTTTTCTCTTC